CTTTTTCAGGGGCTCTCCTAGCCAGATACCCACCCACTTCCTTTTTTCTCCACCAACCTTTCTCCTCCGCCTTGCTTCTGTGCCTCAAAAGTGGGCACACAGAAGATGTGATAGAACACAGCCAGTCTATCCAAAGCAGGCAGGTGGATCTTTCCATTTTGTTTGCCTCCAGGCATGGATAAACCACCCACACTACCTTTCAACCTTGCCTTTTCTTAGTTTACTGCTTTTTCTCCTCTTTGGTTCACACTCAGTTGTTCTGTATTCTTCAGTCACAGTAGTTTCTCACTATGATTTATTACTTCTGGCAAGACAAAGTGAGTTATTAGCATTCCAGGTTCAGGAAGTAGTCTTTGATATAACAACAATGTGTAAAGGAGGAAAGAAAAAGAAGAGATTGTGAAAAAACTGTTTCCCGACTAGTTTCTTAGAGCCTCTCCATTAAGTCAAAATATTTTGTGTTAGTATTTTCAGCTTCAAAAGTAGCATATGCATGTTTTAAACCAGCCAGCCAGGGAGAAACCCACATGTCACAGCAGACCTCTCCTGCCTCACCTGCTGCTCCCCTCAGCAGTGTCTTCAGTTTGTCTGCCTGCTCTGCTCTCCGCTCTGGCTCTGGTGAATTCTCTCACCCTCCCACGCCTCTAACTGTACCCCAGTTCTTGTATAAATAAATAAATCTTAAAAAAATATCAAATCCAAAGGAAAGACACACAACAGATCTCTCCCTGCATTTCCAACCAGATCTCCCACATCTCAGAAGTAAATACTTGACAATATTTTTGGATTAAAGAGTATGTTACATGCATCTATAAGGGAGGCATACACACACACACACACACACACACACACACATATTTATATTCTCATTTATTCATTCATTCATGGATTGATTTACTCATTATCGCCACAGATATTTACCGAGCACCTGGGCACTAGGCTATAATGCCCATATATATTTTTAACCTGTCTTTTTCTAAGTTTACTTGTTAATTTTATTATCTAAAATTGTGTCTTACACATGGTAGATATTTAAAAGACATATGAATCTTAATTTGATTTTTCTCTCATGGGTGGGTCTTGGGGCTAGCGTAGATATTTTGCTAGAATCTAGAAACAGTATTTCAAGCAGGGTCATACCATTAGTTTGAATTCTCATGAAGTTTACAGAAAATATTAGAGAACTAAATATTTCATTTGAAGATGACCATGAGAACTTTCAGTTTCACAGTGTGTGAATATGTATTTCCTTCAAGAATATTTCCTGTATTTGTTTTTGTTTTTTTTTTTTTTTCAGGAAATGTTTATTGTTTCTGAGACCCATATCTGAATCTGAAAATGATTGTAAGCAGAAATCAGTATTAAAATAAAACAAACCACATAATCATTCTTTCTTCAATGTGCTTAACACGAGGATCTCTAACTTATTACTTGAAAGCTACAATAGTAAATTGGTGTAAAATTATAGATTTCCTGAAGTATAAAGAGCAGGCAGACAAGTATAAAGTATACTTTATACAAGTATAAAGTATAAAGATTTCCTGAAGTATAAAGGCTGTCTAGTCTGTTCTCAGAGAAAATTCTCAAATTCTGTTGACACCATTAGTGCATTATTCTATTTCCACTAAAGGCTAAAGTTCTGAGCAATGTCTTTTCAGAAAGAGTGGGTAAAAAGGACTGGGCAACCTCCAGAATGGCTCTAGACATGATGGATGTGGATGGCAAGGTATTAGACTCAAATGAAGGTTCTAGGAGAAAATCCATGCTGGCAGGCAGAACTCAAACTCTCACAGTTGTGGAAAAACTGGTAGTAAGTAGAGAATAATGATCCATTTCCGGGAGAGCCATGACTGAGGAGCACGTGGTAGCAAATCCAAGATGTCCTGTTTGGAGATATAAGTTGATAGGAAAATAGATCAGGATAGAACTCAGTCTGTAACGAGCTTCAGGGTTAGAATTGTAAACTACATAGCCTGGTCTACAAAGTCCCTAAAGCTGACCTTCACCAGCAGCTCTGTGCTCACGATATGCCTGCCATCTTCCTTCTCGCCCTCAATTCTCCCATCACTAGTTTTCTTTCCAGTGACAGAAGACCAACTTCCTTGGCACCCCAGAGTCTTTGTCATTCAGATTTTGGCTTAAATGTCATCTGTTCATGGAGACTTTTTCAGAACACTCTCTACTACATGATTCCATTTTAGTTATCTACAGAAGCTTCAGAGCTTTGGCCTCATTATCTGTATCCTCTCCACTACACTCTAAACTCAGTGAGAGTGGGACGTCTATGTGGTTCCTTGTAGTATCCAATATCAGGTCCTAGCATGTTCTAAGTGCTTATTAAACATTTAAATGAATGAATAAACAGACTAATTAATACATTAAAAATGAATTATTCTAATTGAGGGAGGCAATTAACAAGGTAAAAGTATCTATAATTAATATTTAAAACCAAATACTTAACTAAAATCAATAACAGGGGCTGATGAGAAGGCAGTCACCAGATGCAAATGTTTTAATAAATGAAGAGCATGAACACAAATGGCAGGAGTAGAGTGGGGGAGAAAGTGATACTGAATAGCTGGAGCCTTAGTGGAGGATGAACTGTTAGAGGATGGTGAAAAGGCAAGGTTTGAATGAGTGTTGGGGAGATGCCAGTCCTCCGTCCTGTTTTGAGAACTAGGGAGACTAAATAAAACTTATCAGGAGGCTTCAGTCAAAGGAGATTTGAATAAAGCAGTCTGCAGAAAGTTTGTAGATACAGTGGGATTTGTTTGTGATGGTATATGGACAGTGTGGAGGGGAGACAATGATATAGAGGAGTGGGATGGGGTGAAGAAGGACCCACTGGTAAGAGGAAAAGTCTCCTGAAGGACAGGGAATGAAAGTTTTGGTTTTTTATGGAGATGTAGGATCACAGCAATGATAGTCACAGAAATGATTTGCCTCAAACATGCAATTTTGTCCCAAGTCTTAGAGGAGTATCTTGTGAAACACACAGAGACACATGCACACAGGCACAATGCATCTGATGCCAAAGTCTTTGTTCTTTCAAGTGCATGGGACCAAAGAGTCAGTTTCAGTTTATGTTAACCAGATGTAGCTGCAGTTAATTTTTATTCATTCAACAAGTGAACGATCATGTATTCCCCCCATCCAGCCCAAAATAACTTATTAGTCACTGGGTAAGAATTTAACTCTCCTCCAGGTACTGACAGTGTTATAGCATACCTGAGAGGCAAAAGGCAGAAGTCTATGTGATATATTCAGTCCAATGTCTGTGGGATATCAGGAAGAGGATAAATCAATGTGAATTTGTTTAGTGGTACTCTCCAGGTGGGGGACAAGGAGAGAACAGGTCATTGAGTCATGAGAATTTGAGCTGGACTGAGATGTGATTTTGCTTATGAAAGGAAAACAAAGTTTGTCATTGAATATTTCCCATAAATGCTCAGTGTTTTTTAAAAAAATATTTGGTCTTCCTGGACTTGGCTTAGGAAGCAGGGTGGCTTCAATAGAGGAAATAGAATTGTTCCCAACTTGCACAAGTGAAAAGCATTGTTTCCATTGCATTGTTGCACTGGGTCAGGAACAGTAAGGAAAGACCCAGTTTGCAGTTTGGTGGACACAAATGAATCAATGGAGCAAGGTCAGAATTCCTAAATCCAGAGTGCAAGTAAAACAGAGGGGTCCCCAGGAAAAGGGGAGGTTCCAGGTTTCCTGCCCCACCCAAAGGAGGGTGGAGCTGAGTAGGGAGGCGAAGAAGCTGGAGAGGACACTGAGTGGGAAGCAGGATGGAGAGCTAGAAGGTGGCCTGAAGAAGGTACAAGAAGCAGAGAGACATGTGAAAAAACTGTGCTTGCTTCTTGGTCCTGGATTTGTTAGTGGGAAAGGTTGTCCTGAGCAAATTCCATACTGCTTTGTGGACTCCACCCCACTCCATCAAGACACTGGGAACTACAAATCCCATGATTACCAAAGGGAAGGTTGTGAGAATCTGAGGATGGAGTTAAGCAACTACATTCTCTGTTTGAGTACTGAACCAGCTGATGTGACCGGGGTCTCTCTCTTGGCCACGAGGCACGTTCAGCTTTTCACCAGCTCAGCAGATCATTGGGATTCCAGGTCAATGGAACGGGTAGGACGCATTTATGAAGTTATCTCCCTCTTTTTCTCCCTGAGTCATTCATTTCCCCATTTTCCCTTCCCTTATAAATAGACCTTTTATCAATCTTTTGTGTGTGTTTGCAGTTTAGCTGTCAACTCCCTTTAAGCATGCAGGTGAGGACCCACATTCAGGCAACCCATTTTATACTGGGGTTGCTTTGTAACAAATTGGACAGATTGGGTGAAAGATACATGGGTGAGAGACCCATGGGGAGGTTAACACTGGCAGCTTTTATCTTAATTTTGATTTTGCTCTTTTCCTCCCAGACTTGTCTGACTGCTTCTGACCCTTTTCTGTGGGTCCCTCCCAGAAGGTGCTTTAGACTTGTGCATGGCTTTCAGGCCTTGCTTTGGACTCAACCTGTTTAGTGGTACAATTACCCACAAAGGGGTAGGTGACTTTGGATGCTTGGTTTGGAAACTACCTTCTTTGACTTTTCTGTGTTGCACACTAATTGTATAGAAGTTCCTTTCCATTAAAGGTCTATGCATTTGTCTTAATGCAGTGGATGGCAGAACCTATTTTAGGGCAGGCAGGTTTGGGCTTCTGGCTATCCCTCTCCCTGCCCTATAACTCAAGGTCACCTGTGGTATATTCTTCTAAAAATGGGTGGCTAGTGGAGAAGTCAACAGTATGTGCTTGATTCTGATTGTCTGCCAGAGCTGATTTTGCTTGCAAAAAAAAAAAAAAAAAAAAAAAAAAATTGAAACCGTGTAAAGCCCTCTTCTCTTTCACAAAGTTGCTTTTTTGCTAAGAGCAGGAAGTCCCAGACTCCAGTCCACCCAAACCACTGTTGAAGCAGCAAAGAGGCAAAAGCACCCAGTTTTGACTTGAAATGAAAACCTGGGCTAAGAACATCCTGGAGAAGTTTCCCAAATGGCTCAAGCATGGCAGCAAGCTGGAATATGGCTTGGTGAGCCTGCTGACCGCAGGCGGAGAGCGCATCTTCTCCACTGCAATATTCCAGTGCCCCTGCCACCCCACCTGGAACCTGCCCTATGGCATGGTCTTCCTGCTGGTGCCTGCACTGGCGCTTTTCCTCCTGGGCTACGTGCTGAACACACGCACCTGGCGCCTGATGACCGGCTGCTGCAGGTGGGACCGCAGCCAGTCGTGCACCTGTGGGTGCCAGAACTGCAAGAAGTTCCTGTGGATCAGTGCCAACGCTTTGGTTGCCCCTCTCACCTGGGTGGCTGTGGGGCTGCTTGGGGGCACTTTCTACGAGTGCTCCGCCAGCGGGATCCCCTCCTTAGCAAGGCGCTTGTGCCTTGGCCGCAGAGACAACTGCTCCACGTTAATGCCCAAGTTGCCCTGTCTGGAAGCCAACTGCTCCATGTTGATGCCCAAGATACACTGTCTGCGGAACAAAGATTGGGACCTGCAGGACCTCCTGAAGGTGCTCAAGGCCCAGTCACAGGTGGGGAGCTGGCACTGAAGTGGGCAGGAGGAGTGGAGGGGACGGGCTTCAGGAGATGGGGTGCTAGGCTGACCTGTGAGGCAGAATCGGTGCCTTTTCTCCAGGTATAAGACTCTGAAGACAAACCCGGACACTTACTTGCTTCTACTGAGTTGAAAGGAGAATATTTAAATAAAATGAAGGAAAAGGAGGAAAGGTACCTGTGTAGTGAGGCTGTGCCAGAGAGCCCGTTAAGTCCTTTTCTTATCGACCTGAGCTGGATAGTGGCTAGGGGCTCAGAAAGCCAAAGACTGAACCACTGGGTGTTTTTGCAAAGGAAGTTTTATTCCGGGTCGCTGGGTCACAGCAGAGCAAGGCGTTCTTAGAAAGCCTTCCCCTCTGCTGCCATTTGAGAGTATGTAAAGAAGGCATGAGGGGCTTCTGGTGCAGGGGATGCAACAAGTGGTCTAGTTAGCTGTTGACAATTTTGCTCTGGAAGGCTTCTTTGTTTTTTAACTGGCCTTAAGGACCCTTAGATGGTTTCTGTGAGTTTAAAAGTGTTGTAGATTACCTCTTCCAAGGGGCAGAGCATGGGGGTTGGGGGGTGTGAGCAGCCTTACACTTTGCCTCCTGAATCTTCTCACAGCCACCCTTTAGAGAGAATACAAGGAGTCATCCAGAAGGCAGAATTATTACAGTGAAGTGGGTCTGCATGTAAAGCCACTGTCCCTCACTGCTTGTGGGATTTTGAAGCGCAATGCTTGTTTCACTGGATTTGCCAAAATTGCATACTTGGAGTTTCAGGTCTCCCTGGGTTTTTGCAATGACTTGAAATAGAATTGATTCATCTAGCAATCAGCTGTACAAAGAAAGGGGTTCTGGAGGTCATGCCACTCCTATTTCTTAAGGGATTAAGACATAATTAGCTGGGGATTAACAAACTTTATATAGATATCGATATAGATATAACTAAACTGCTATTCTGTTTGTTTTCCTAAGGTGGCTGGCTGGATCCTGATAGCTGTGGTTATCCTCATTCTAATGATTGGTACATCTATACACTATTGCAGATCTCCAGTTAGTTTTTGGCAGTTGAAATTTAAGAACATCTATGTGATTGAGGAGAAGAAGAGCCTTACAAAAGAATCCAGAAAGAATGCAACTGAATTGGCAAATGAGAATGTTAAATGTTTCTTTGAGGGCTCACGTCCACATCACAAGACTCCAAGTGGTCAAGACTGGAAAACTATTTCACCACTCTATACTTTGAATTCAGAGGAGCCATACTATAGCATGTTGCAGAAATATGTTAACACGAGAAAGATGGGCGATGTGGCTTCTACTTTTAATGTAGAAGAGGCACAAGTTTAAGACAACACTGTATGACTTTATGAATGAATGGGAAAAAAGTTCTTTTGAGTTTCATTTGAAAAAAATTCTGTTTTGTTGATGACTGCTTTTTTTTAAGGCTTCCAAACTGTGGAAACATAATTTTATATTTGAAATAAAAATTTAGAGTTTTACCTGGCATTTTGTGGCTCCAGAGTGGTTGCTAATCAAAAATAGGAAAATTAATCATGAAAATTTTTTAAAATTGAAAAACTAGTTTAAGATAATTACAGGCAAAGCCTATTATTTTTAGTTTGTAGGATCAAGGGAAAAGTTAAAGTTTTTTTTTAAAACTTTTATGGTTTTTATCTTTTTTTTATTTTAGATTTATTTATTAATTTATACAAGCATTGGGTACAGTCAGAAGTGCTGGAGGGTGAGAGAATTCACCAGAGCCAGAGTGGGGAGCAGAGCAGGCAGAAGGACCGAAGTACACTGCTGAGGGGAGCAGCGGGCGGCAGGAGAGGTCTGCGCGCCATGCGGGACCCTCCTATGGTGGCCGAAGAGCAGCCGGGGATTGAACCGGCGCCGCAGAGGCTGCAGGCAGCTTCGCAACCCAGCGCTCAACCGCTGCGCCATCGGGGAGGCCCTAAAGATGTTTTTTATGGTAAATTTCAAATTTACCCCCAAAGAGAAAGGATACTGTTATGAATTCCTGTGTAGTCATTACACAGCATCATGTGGGGATGTCAGATAAAACCCATGCTGTACAAATAAATAAAGAAATAGAAATTGTGACCTGATTCACATAAGGGTGGAAAGAGGTTGGGGAAGTCTGTGAGTAGCTGATCTCTGTAGAGTAGAGCATTTTAGGGAGAGTATGTGTGACAGTATGTGAGTGGGAAGCTTTGACGGTGACTGGAAACGGAGCAAGAGACAAATTGTCGTGCACGGGATATTGGTTTTCATCCTATGACCATTTTAGGAAGATTGATCTGCTTTTCCTGTAGGGAAGGGATGATGTGGGAAGAGAGAAAACCAAGACACAATGGAGAGACTAACCAGGAGGCCAAGACAGTGTAAATAGGTAAGAGTGAAACTTGAACTGGGTTGATGGTGAAGAAAATAGAAAAAGTAGAGATACTCAAGGTAGCTTTTGAAGTTAGTCATTATGCAATTTGCTAATGGAAAGGATGCAATTAATTTAATGAGAATGACAATTTCTGTAGAAAAAATTTTGTTGCTTGATAATTTGAGGATATCAGGGGATATTAGATTGTGGTTCATTTTTATCCCCCAAGTTTTTGGCACTTTTTGTGAATTTTAAAAAAAAAAACGATATACCTCATGCTTATCATGGTACTTGGCTGAAATACCAGGTATAACTTAACTCCCCTTGCCTGTCTCTCTTAGTCCCATCGGGGAACTAAGCAATGATAAAATCCCATAGACTGGGTGGTTTATAAACAGCAGAAATTTATTTCTTACCACTTTGGAGGCTGGGAAGTCCAAGGTCAAGTCATCAGGGTGATGTCTGCCAAGGCCCTGCTTCCTACATGATTGTCTTTTCGTTGTAATTACAGAAGGTGGCAAGGGTGACAGATCTCCATGGAGTCTTTTTTACTAGGCACTATTCCCATTTATGAGGGCTCTGTCCTCATGACCTAAACACTTCCCAAAGGCCCATTCCCGAATATCATCACATTGGGATTAGGTTTTAACATTAAGAATTTGGAGGGGACACAAATATTAGTCCATAGCACTGTCACTCAAAGTTCTTAACCTCTACCTGCTCCCCATTCCATCCTGTCTAGCCTTAATTTTCAGTATTATCCTATATATAATTTCTAATTTAATCAAGCTTTGTAGCCTCTCTACCATAGCAATTAAACATGAAAGTCTCAGTCACAAGTTTTCTATGAACTGATTCTCTTTTCTGTTATTATCCCAGTGTCTTTTTTGGGATTTGGTTTTGCCCTACTAACACTTTATTTTTTTTAAAGATTTCTTTATTTATGCATACAAGGGCTGGGGTACAGGTGAGAGGATTCACCAGAGCCAGAGCAGAAACAGAACAGTCAGACTGACTGAATTACACTGATGAGGGGAGCAGCAGGCGAGACAGGAGAGGTCTGCCACGCCGTGGATATCTCCTCAGTCAGCTGGGATCCACCTGGCTGTGAGGAGAGGCTGTGTCTGAAGAGGCTGTGTCTTGGAAGATGTCAGAAGATATGAAATTTCTGGACCAATGACAAAACTGTATTAATTACAGCAGAGTAAACAGTAAGAGCAACATGTTTACTCTGATTCCCTTTGCTCTCTAATCCTACAAGATATCTACTTACAGGGTGGGTGCATTATTGGAGAGAACACAGAGCATCATAACTACCATTATAAAGGCAATAGTAATCAAGCTTATGCTTTGTCCAAGAAGATTATTTTACCTATCAAGGTTGCTGGCTGCAAATACATCCCTGAGAAATGCCCTGGGTTAAAAGCTGTCATGGTATTACATTCTTGGCCCACTATTAAGACATATAAAAGCATGAGAGACCCATGGAAGATATTCTCTCAACACATATTTTCCATCTTTCAAGCCACATTTCAAACCATCTTTCCTCCTCAATATCTTTCCCAACTACATCAACCCACCGCAACTTCTTCCTTCTCTCAACCCTTACGACTTGATTATCTCAAATGCACTATAGCACTACATCATGTATCTCTTCGTAATTAAAACTATGTCTTTTCTCTTCCTAGCCTGATTTTATGCTTTCTAGAGGCTTGGGGAAAAAATCTCATATTTGCCACAAAGCAAACAATAAAAATCATGAAACAAATGAGGAAGATTAAATATTTACTATATAGTTTATTAAGAAGAAAAATTTTTAAAAGTATGACCAATGTTTTTCAAAATTTTAATTACAAGGTATGTAAACATAGATAATAAATCCATAATTTGGGCCTCCCTGGTGGCACAGACTGTTGAGCGCCGCACTGCAAAGCTGTCCTCAGCCTTTGCAGCGCAAGTTCTATCCTGGCCAGTTGGCGAGAATCCCACTTGGCGAGGCAGACCTCTCCTGTCTCATCCGCTGCTCCCCTCAGTAGTGTATTTCATCAGTCTGCCTGTTTGGTTCCCAGCTCTGTCACTGGTGAATCCTCTCACCCTCCCGTGCATCTGGCCTCAACCCCAGTTTTGAATAAAAATAAATCTCTAAAAAAAATAAATAAATCCATAGTCAGTGGCTCCATTTTGGCCAATGTTATATCATTGAGAACTGAGACTTGAGGCCATATTTTATAAGTCAAGTGATTTGTTTTGTTATTTGTGCAATTTTTGTGTATGGCGCTCCATTTCAAAAAGGCAGATCATGGTATAAGAAAAACAATTATAAAAATATATTCATTTTTTCCCTATATACATAAAGAAACAAAATTTAAAGGACCAAAGTGATTTCTTTATCGTGCAGTACTAACCAACATCTTATGATATCAGTTTTCTAGAGAATTGTTTTGGAAAACAGTATTTACATTATCAGAGGCAGATGGAAAATCAACTGTTGTCTAGCTTACTTCTCAATATTCTTAAATCATGCTGTCTATTGAGAAAAAAGTAATAGACTCCAGTCTGAAACATGCTTAAGCTGTGGGGCAACTTGCTTCAATGACTTCAAGTAGATGGATTCATAGGGGATTCATTAAAACATAGTTAATTTCATGGAGACTAGATCATCATGTGTCTAGGTATCTTTAAAGATACTTGAAAGTGCTTGGAGAGAGGGCAGTGCATTAAATCAAAAACAAATGTTTTTCCTCTAAAAAATCAAAGCAGTTCTAACTCTTTTCTCAGTTCCCAGTGCTGTTCAAGATTTCTTGATGAGACAACTGTTCCTATTATATTCATAGGCAATCTAAGACTAATGAGTCCACATTTTTTAAACTTTAAATCTGCTTGCCTCTATTCTTAAAAATAGAATGCCACAACTTTTCCAATTCTGTAAGCACATTAATTCCAACAAGAGGTCAACTTTCCTCATACATGTTTGATGAAACTCTCTGTAATAAATTTTATTTTCTTAAATCTAATCCTTCATTCCAGGCACTCTGTATTTCCATTCTAATTAGAGCTCTAACACAATTTGTGCTTATTAAAAATACTGCTTGGTAAATATGATTGTTGTTGGTGAGAGACCACTAGAAAAGATACCTCTGGCCAAAATTATTGATTTGAAAGTATGTAGTCAACCACACTAAAAACAAAAACAAAGGGATCTTTTTTAGTGGTATAAAGCAACTAGAAAGCAGGAGAGAGAGAAAAGGCAGCACAAGTTTTGGAAGTTGGAAAGCAGATGGTAAATGATAATTTTCCTGATATATCTGAGAAATATGAATCTCAAGCTAGAAGGAGGAAGAAGTAATATGATTTGAATCATGAAATCTATAAAAGATTCAGGAATTAGTAGCACTAGTGTCTTCTGAAAAGGAGACTGGAGGATTGGTTGAAAACTTGTTTAAGAATTGGTTCCTCAAAACTCTATCCTTATTCCAAGTAATTGGCAATAGCTTCTTCCTACCCAGTACATAGATAAATAAATAAATATTTAAATGGGAGTTTTAAAATCTAAATGTAATGTTCCAAAAAGTTTTTGAATGAAAGGACATTAGGCATAGTTGAAGGCAGGAAACAAATGTGAATTAGTTGACATATAAATAGTGAATTTTCATTTCTCCAGTCTTCTTACCCAATCTGACTTCTAGAATTCTACATTCAGACTATATCCTCTAAGCAGAATGTCAGAAGAGCCACAGCTAACAAATCTGACTGCCCAAGATAAGAGCTTTCAAAAAGAAACTGAAATAGAAGTTTAATAAATTGACATGTATTTATTTCAGCAAGTGTTCTGTATGTACTCTATTTTGTACTCTATGGGATTATTCTTTCATTTATATATAGATAAATCTATATTAAATTATCAATAAAACTGAATCCATATCATTTATCCATTCATGTAGGTAAATTTAGATAATGCACATATTTTCAACTAAATAAATGTTAATCATAATTTAAGCAATGGTTTGTGACTCCAGTTGAAAAAATAAGAAGTTACAGTAAATCCTTCCAAGTAGGAGAAAATCCTCACTGGATCGCCAATACTTGTCCCCTTCCAAAGAGGCACCTGCTGTTCTGCCTGCATCTGTTACATCAATGTACAGGGTTAGGGTAAGTGTTCTGCCGTGTTCTTACTGCTTCATTTTGTATTCTCAGCTTTTATTCCAACTTTTAAAACTACTTGTGTTCTTTGCTTTCCAGTGAGAGAACTGAGATGCAGGCAATTGTGAACTGTTTACACCAATATTCTTTAGATTGCCGAATTAATGAATATATTTTGTTATTTCTAGAAACATGCATTTCCTCATAGCACAATTTGTCAATGTTTCAAAGTTATATTGACTAATAGACTCAGCAGTGACTGTTCCTTCATGGTTTCCAAAATCTTAGGGTAGAAATACTTTTATCTTCTTTTTTTTTTTAATCTTCTTCGAGGTCCTTGGACTGCTCTGATAAAACAGATTAATAGAAGAAAAAAAACAAATTTAATTTCTTCCATATGAAGGCCCCATATGTACAGGACCTAGAAAAGTGACCAGAGCATTTAATTTTGTACCTTTTAAGACAAAAAAATAATTGAGAGGGAAAGAAAGGTTGAAGATTACTGAGAAGCAGCAAAGTTTGTTCATACATGCTCTCAAGGCTAAATTTACACAACAAGTGTAAATAACCACTAGAAACAGAAAAAATAAATCAAATAAAAAGGCATCTTAGGATGAACTATGAAATATGTAGAATTCATGCTTGCTATCTTACAAGGAATTATTTGCATAAGAAATCTCATGGACATGAGATTGCAAATGTGATTTATAAGCAAAGGGGAAAAAAAGAGTTTTGAACCCTAGTGCCCTGCTGGATTTCTGACAGGTTTATAGGCTTAACTTAGCAATTCAAAATGTGGCTGTATATGTTTAGAGAGTATTAATTCCTCAACAAGTTGTGGCATCCAACATGCTATTCTTCACTTGTTCCGCCTGTATTTTTTCCCATCTAATTTTTTCAGAAATGTTATTCCTATTTCTGTCACACTGTCGCCTTTTAGTCTGTCTTGTAAGAATGTAACATCGGCAGCCAAATGGACCTAGAACAGAAAAAGAAAAAGAAAACAGGTTTTCGTCATTCAGATTTTCAAAAAAAAAAAATCTGAAAATTCTTCTGTATCTTTTTAAAGTTTGATTTATCCTAAAAGCAGTGACAATTCTTATGGAATAATCAGAAAAAACTTGTCTGTGGGTGAGGGCCCCTTTACTATGTGTCCTCCAGAGAAGCTCTGTTTGGGGGTCAGCGCTGCGGTGTGAGTCTGCAGAGAGAAGGGCAGTCAGGTCAGTCCCAACTTGGGGCAAGCAGAAAGATGTGGACCCATTTCTGTTCACTTTGCATTCCTCTCAAGAACACAGATTCCCAGTTCAAGGAGACACTTGGCACTGTGTGCCTCACCAAGCAGAACTTCCAAGGATAAATGGATTCCTAACTAATGCTGTTCTAAGTCACTTGCTATAGATCATCCTGACATTACCTAAATAACATCATCATGCATCTTAACATCATTTAGCAATCACTTAAGGCTTTGAGAGCTTGCCACAAGTGTCAATTAAATAAATTATAAATATACAATCAAAGATTGAACTTATAGGCAGGAATATTTGCTATCCAGACTTCTCTTCCCCTCTAAAGCAGTTCACATTTCCCAGACATTGAAGTACTCTTAGGGCTTATTCTCTATTAATTAAAATGTGTTCACATGAGAGCAGCATGGTATTGCTAACTGACCCTCCACAGAGTATTTGTTCACCTACTTGGAGGCTTTTGGATTAAAAAGAAAAATAAGCAAAAGAACCTAGTAAAAGCAAATAAATGAAAATGCCTCCATTTAGTAGTCAATCAACTAGTGTTTACTGACTCTTACCTGACTCACTCCTCTCTCCCACTAAGAATTCCTTCACTAACCAGTCTGGATACGTGAAATCATAGATCTTGCTATTCCTCAGATTAACTGACTCACACAAGGTGCAAAAATCATGCCTTGATGATGCCCATCAACAATGAAAAGGATGTAGACTGAGTTTTGAAATACAAAAGCTAAACTTTTTTTTCACATTTTACTTTACCCTTCTTTTCTTTTTTTTAAACTGTTTATTTTTTTAAACATGCTGATTTTTGGGGTATTTTTTTATTTTAACATTTATCATTTTTTTACCTTTTTTTAGATAATATTTGCTTTACCTCACCCCCTCAGATTGATCCCCCTAGAATTTCCTTCCCCAAGGCACCCATGTACCATCACCCACAGTCCCCTGTGCTCCTCACTCCCTCCCTTTCACCCCTCTCCCTCTTCCTCCCCTGCAGTATGTCTCTGGTTTATAATTGTCTGTTTTTGCTTTGTTGTGGTTTGTACTGTTATTATTTTTTTTACACTGATGTCTTATTTGGTTCCCCTATATTCCTGCTATAAGTGAAACCATCTGATATTTTTCTTTTTCTTTCTGCCTTATTTCACTGAGCATAATTCCTTCTAGCTCCATCCACCTTGCTGTGAATGGTATGGGTTTATCTGTTTTGATTGCTGAATAATATTCCGTTGTGTATTTGTACCACATCTTCTTGATCCAGTCATCTATTTTTGGGCATTTGGGTTGTTTCCAGGTTTTACCTATTGTAAATAGTGCTGCAATAAACATAGGTGTACAGGTGCTCTTTTGAATCACTGTTTTTGTGTCCTTTAGGTAGATCGCTAGTAGTGAAATTGCCGGATCGTATGGTAGCTCCATTTTTAGTAGAATGAGGAACTTCCAGACAGCTTTCCACAGTGGCTGGACCAGTTTGCACTCCCAAACAATGTAGGAGAGTTCCTTTTTCACTGCATCCTCACCAACATTTGTTGTTGCAACAGCTAAATTTGTCCTCACTTCCTTCTCTCCCCCAAGAAGATCTTGTCTTTGTTAATATTTGACAGAAATCGAATAATGAGGAGGCTACTTTGAAGTTATTTGGATCCTTGGGGTCTACATGAGGTATGAATCCTATTTATCATTCAATGTATTTAATCATCTGTTATTCATGAAAGCTAGATAATTTCTCATCTTATTTTTGACTTGGTTTTATATTCAGCCCATGAAACCCATAAGATCCCAGAACTTTCTCCTTTCCCTTTCTTGATTTCATTACCACTGATTGTAGGGCAAGTCTAAAAAAATATAGTAGGTTAAAAGCATGGAAGATCCATGTGAACAATACAGTATTTCCATTGTTTTACTCTTTTGGATTGCCTATTGTTATATCCTTCTCCTGATTGTCACCAATAGTTTAAAATACAACATATCCCTCATTATTGAGTAGGTCAACTCATATCTAGTGTTTGGCTACCACCTGGTCCACCATTTTTCATAGTAAAGTTTCCAGAAAAATGAGACTTTGCTGACTATTACCTTTCCTTGAACAGATTGTTTTCTTCTTTCTCCCTCTCACTTTGCCAATATAGTTTTTTTTAAAAAAAGATTTATTTATTTATACAAGCACTGGGTACAGTCAGAAGCGCAGGAGGGTGAGAGAATTCACCAGAGCCAGAGCGGGGAGCAGAACAGGCAGAAGGACCAAAGTACACTGCTGAGGGGAGCAGCGGGCGGCAGGAGAGGCCTGCGCTCCATTGCCAATATAGTTTTAACCAAGGTCCTTCCAGACCTTTTGGCTTCTAAATGTTGTGGAATTTTTCATTAACAGCCCTGCAATTTGGAATTCCAGTCCCGAAAGAAACTAAAACTACAACTGAAACTTTCAGACAATGTCTTAATAAAAACAGAGCCTGTAAAAGTAAAGTGAGACGTGTGTTTAAAAAGAAAGAAAGGTACTAAGAATCGATATTTTAAAGGTCCTGAAAGTAAAGTAAAAAGTGCTAACACAAGTGTTAAAGGTGTGAAAGAGGGAGGAAAAGAAATTGTTAGAAAGCAAAAGAAAGTGTTAAAAGTAAAAAAGCAAAAGAAAGAGTTAACAGTCTGAGAGAAGGATCTTAAAAAAAATTTTTTTATGTGCTTCAATGACTAACTACAAACTGTAAAAGGACAAGTCATTCTAGCAATTTACTTCATTAGTTCCAGAGGTTAGACATGGACTTGAAGACCTACATTGACAGGGGGGAGACCAGGCAGGCTGAGGAAAAGAAAGGGAGAAGGACAAGAGAAGGGCCCACTCCCCGGTGGCGCAGCGGTTGAGCGCTGGGTTGGGAAGCTGCCGGCGACCTCTGCGGCGCCGGTTCGATCCCCGGCTGTTCCCCAGCCACCGAAGGAGGGTCCCACATGGCGCGCAGACCTCTCCTGCCGCCCGCTGCTCCCCTCAGCAGTGTACCTCGGTCCTTCTGCCTGTTCTGCTCCCCGCTCTGGCTCTGGTGAATTCTCTCACCCTCCCGCGCTTCTGACTGTACCCAGTGCATGTATAAACAAAGAAACAAACAAATAAATAAATAAATAAAAACATGCCTCTATAAAAAATAAATAAATAAATTAATTAATAAATTAAAAAAAAAAAGAGAAGGGCCCAGTGTATATGGCAGCTGCCATTGCTGGTACCCCGCCAGCTGAGACTCACCTGAGGCCTCTTGCATCCCAGGCATTTGGGACCTCAACATATTCATGGGCTGCCCCTGCTTCCACCGCCAGTAACTGGGACACCTCAGCCACGAGTGTCTGCAGAAGCCACCCCCCACCCCGGCCATGCCCTCAGTGCCATCGCACAGACCACTGAAAGAAGGACTGTTCCAGTCTCTGAAAGAAGGGGGTGTCAGCCCAAACCACAGGCCAAAATGGGAGGACAGTCTTGACTATCAGCTGCCTCTGACTGTGAACAACCAGGTACAGGAAAAGAAAATGTTTTCTGAAGAAGCCCAGAGTTGAGAAAAGCCTCGGGTGACCCTAAAAGTGGCAGGCAAAAAAGAATCAACTTCTTGGTGAATAAGGGGCCACTTACTTTGCCATGCTGCAATTCTTTAGACTGGGTTTCTTTGCCACACTGGATAATGCCAGGTGACTGACTGTAGTTTCTCTTGCACACACTAAAACCCTAAAAAACTGTCTTCAAAGACTGCACCCTGAAATCTGTGCCTCCATAGATCTGTGCCACCATAGGTATGGTGGAATAAAAATTAAAAGGGGGGAAATGAAATGGAAAATGTAAGACTGATCTGTTGATTAGCTGAAGTTGGCACATAACCTGTAGACTGAAAGTTTCAGGGAACAACTGATAAGTGCTATCAAGGCCATACCTGATTCATGCATCCCAGCTGATTGTATCCCTTGCTTTTGACAGACAATAAACATCCTGTTGTCTGATTGCTCGGGGCTCAGACTTGGAGAGAAATCTCCTCTGGGCTTGTTGGTATAAAGCCCACTGGTGTAAATAAAGAGCTTCCCTCCTCCTCTCTGAGTGCTGCCTGCTTTCCTAATGACAATCTGCCATAATAATATCTTCACTCTCGCATGTGTTAGACACTTCAACTCCAGGGGTTTTCAAGTTGAATTCCTTGCTTTATCTCTCCCCATGTATTCTTGCTGGTTTTTTTTTTCTTGGTGAATGACACCACCAGCCCTATATATTGCTCAGAAACTTAATGATTCTTGAAACTTTTTCTCAATCAACTGATAACCTAGTCTTATCTGTTCTACCTTCTTAATTCAAATTTGCCTTCACTATTCCCACTGTCAAGGTTTTATTCCGGTTTTACCTGAGGTTGCCATTATTACCTTCTAAAGTGTTCTTCCCTTTCCTCCAGCATTGTCCCCTCTTGTATACTTTTTACTTTGTTGAAAAGGGATAAAATTTCTAAAGCACAAATTTCAGAATATTATTCCCATTTGTAAACTAGTTCAGCTACTTTCTATATAAAAGTCCATTTTCTAAAGCTTATCCTATAACCCCCTTCTTTTTAAATCAGACCTCTGTAAAGAATGTGTATCTCCTTTTTCATTACATTTCCTCTCTCAATCTACATGGAAGTCACACTGACTTAATCCAAGAAACATTTCTGCATGACACATTTCTTTTGTGCCTTTGGGACTTGTGGTTCCTTTTACCTGGACTATTATTTCCCCCTGCTCCCTTTAACCTAAGACCTTCATCTAATTCCTATTTATTCTTCAAATACCAGCTCATAGTTTCTTTAGAAAGTCTTTCCTACTCCCCTCTTCCAAACCTAGGTCCTCCCATAAACTTTAATCACACTTCTTTATACATTCAATTGGATATAAAATTCTTGAAGAGCTGCAATGGTGTCTTGCTCATCTTTCTAAGTTCACTGCCTGACTATGAGCAGATGTTAATTGACTTAGTGAAATCAATGAAGAATTCAGGTGTGGCAGCCAGCCTCCAAAGTGGTCTATAATCATTCCTGCCTCCTGTTATGTCCTTAGCAGTCCCCTTTACAGTGCACCAAGGTTTACCTATGTGGTAAAGAACTTCACAAATGCTCTAGGCGACTGCCAAAAAAGTATTAAGGCCAAGTAAGTGAGCTTGGAATTAGAGTCTCCAGTGTCAGTCAAGTCTTCAGACACTATAGGCCTGACCAACAACTAGACTGTGTTCTTACTTAGCTATGAAACAGCCACACCCTGCTAAGTTTTTCCCAGGTTTCTGACCCTTAGAAATTGTACAAGGTGATAAATCCTTTTGAAAATCTTTTTGTGAAGAAGCATTGTTTTATATAATTATGTAAATTTCAGCTGCATAGTATATACTTTCACATCTTAATGAAAAACACAGAAAACCTCAGGAATTTAAGTGTCATCTTTGCACAGAGGCCATGTTAATCTTCCTTGGTTTCTTCCCAATTTAGGATATGTACTGCTGAGGTCAGCACTAAATGTTTGTTGTTTCAAGCTGCTATATTTTGAGGTAAACAAAGTATGAATACACAGGCAAAATGAAATAAGTGCTTTACCATTTCCAGGCCACCTCTGATAATCCCACAGAGTAAATTGCAGTAGCACAGAGAAGATCGCCCAGCAGGGAGCTCTTCCACAAACTCTATCAGAGGGTTCTTGTCTAGAATCAGGGAAAATTCATTTCTGCTGGAATTGTTACATGTCACAGTTGGTGTAATTCCCAAGTACATCTTGAAAGCAACCTAATAAAGAGGGAAAAAATTTAAAAATTAAAAAATTAAAACTTGGTATAGAACAGACATCTCTTAGCAAGGTATCAAAATATCCTGTTCCAGACCATACATCACAATGATTAAGCAGGTGACATCGTTGTCAAGAAGTTTGGGTTCACACCCAGCTTTGAAATTGACTGACCCTGTAACTTTTTGCAAGTTTTAAACTTTATAAATTTAATTTGGAACAGCTGAAGGGACTTGTTTTTGCTGGAAAAATATGGTTTATAAAACAGAGTTAAGACAGTACTTCCAAAAAATCTTTTTCAAAAGTAAATATCTTTTAGGAGGTTAAGAAACTAAAATACTGGGCCTCCCTGGTGGTGCAGGCGGTTGAACGCAGTGCTATGAAGCTGTCTGCAGCCTCTGCATTGCCAGTTCCATCCCCGCCGGTCTTGGAGATACCCACATGGCGAGCAGACCTCTCCTGTCTCGCCTGCTGTTCCCCTCAGCAGTGTATTTCGTCGGTCTGCCTGTTCTGTAGCCCTCTCTGTCTCTGGTGAATCCTCTCACCCTCCCAAACATCTGGCCTCTACCCCAGTTCTTGTTTAAATAAATAAATATTTAAAAGAAATTAAAATATTATTAATCATCAATATACTAGCATGATAATTGTTATATGGGCCCAGCAAAAAGTAGGATCCTGAATTAGAAGGGTCTTGGGCCCCAAAAGGGTGGTGGAAGAGCAGAGGATGGCATGGGAAGATTAGATGTGACAGGAGTTGTGTGACCAAGGATGACAATCCTTGCCTCTGAGAAGGAGCAAGGGCTAATGGTGAGAAGTACATATATGAATCTAAGTAACTTCTGAAAAAGTTTATTGGTTTACAAAATAGCAATGGAGGAAAACCAAGAGGCCATTTTTCATACTCCCAGTTTTGTACATTAATAAACTGGGATGAATAAAAGTAAAATGACAAGACTTGGCTCTTCTGTAACTTAGTTTCTTAGCTCTTTAGTACAAGGTATTTGCTTCTTACATAATAAATAGGCCTGGAATTTGAAGTGTATGAATGAATATTGTCAGTTTAATATTTTGTCATCTTTCAAGTCCCTTAATTAATTTAATTTTAAAAGTTAAAAGTAGCATAAGAAAGAAATGGAAACAGTTTCTTTAAATTATTTATAAGCATAAAAGGTCCATCAATCATTTACTTATTCATTCAATAGGTACTGCCTGTCCTGGCACACAGTAGGAGTTCAATAATGATTTGAAGAGCAAATTATTGAATGAGTATTCATTCTGTTTAGGCCCAGAAAAGTTCCTATTTTCAAAGAGCTCATAATATAAAAAGGATAACAGATACTAAACAAGTAAGTGCATGGTATAAGTCCTGCGAGTATAACGTTTAGAAATGTATTAGGAAGTAATACTGGAAATATTCATAAGGAAGAAACTTCTACCCAGTTCATGGAGATTGAATAAGAGTTTGCCAGATGGACAAAGTGGAAGGTAGGTTATTCTGAGTAGAGGGCACATTCATGGGCATGAAATACCATGATGAGGGTTCTGGAGAGGTTAGCATCAATCAACTTGTGGTCAGCACAGAGATAAGACAGTATGAGTAGGCTAAAGTAGAACTGAAATTCTATTTCTGAGGGATTTCCTTTTCACCAGCACAGAGGGTGTAGATTTAGGGTTGAGAGTGGGGTGGGCATGAGGTAAAAGGCTGAGCTACCAACCAAGAGGCTGCTGTGATATAGCCTAGGAGAGGAATGCCGGGGACTTTTTCCATTTTGTCTTTTACCCAAAACTAAAACCCTCCCTAAACTTTTCCATATAAATTTCATATAACTCAAATTCTAAAATTTGTTCAAGTCTCTGACACTAGCCAGTTTAAAAAGATAAAATATGTATCTTCCAGATCCTAAGCAGCAAGAGAACAAAAAAATTAAAATCATGAAACTTGAAGCTAAGAGATATTATTTGGCTCCCCATCAGTTGGCTGAAATACAGTTCTGCTAATGTTGATTCATCTGACTGGAAAATTCCTAGACTATTTTTTGTATGAGTGAGATTTGACTGTGATGCTCAATCTAAACCACATGGAAATGGTATGAAAATGGAGCCTGTGTACTTGATTTTACTCTAATTCTCAGTGTTTGGGTTCTCATTTCATAGCCTGATATCCGCCAGTAGGAGGCATTATCTGAACATGGTTGGGAAATCCTCATTCCTAGGGAATGACATTGTCTCCTTATCTGGCTGAATTCAGGCTGAGGAGGACTGTTGTTTCTAATGAAGACAGAGCTCCACCCTCGGCTGCTGCCACAGCTGCTCTGCTAATAAATAAGGGCAAAGCATTTCCCCTTTGTGTGTCTTCAACATGGATGCTTTTCAAGGGATTATAAAATTCTTCGTTAACCAGAAAACTATTATTGGCTACAGCTTCATGGCTCTGCTGACCGTGGGAAGTGAGCGTCTCTTTTCACTTGTGGCTTTTAAGTGTCCCTGCAGCACTGAGAATACGGTCTATGGGCTGGTTTTCCTTTTGGCTCCTGCCTGGGTGTTACTGATCTTAGGATTCTTTGTGAACAACAGGTCGTGGAAACTCTTCACAGGCTGCTGTGTGAATCCCAGGAAAATGTTCCCCAGAGGCCACAACTGCCACTTCTTCTACGTCCTTGGCCAGATCATTCTGAGTTCATTGGTGGCTCCAATGATGTGGCTTTCTGTGGCTTTGCTCAATGGGACTTTTTATGAATGTGCCATGAGTGGGACAAAAAGTGAAAGACTCCTGGAACTGATTTGCAAGGGGAAGCCCAAAGAATGCTGGGAAGAACTTAACAAAGTATCTTGTGGTAAAACCAGCATGACAACCTCGGACAACGAAGAACTGAAACTGTCCCTGCAAGCCCAGTCTCAGGTAAGAAAGGACAAATCTGCATTTTTTTCCCCCCAGTGTAAGCCTGAACTAATCTTTCTGTCCTCCTTTCAGTCAAGGCTAAAATCCTGTTAGGACATTTTGAAACAATGGAAATGAGAAAATAATTCAGAGTTAAAGACAATCCCAGGAAAAGCTCTTTAGAAGTTGGATGGCTCAGTAAGATTGCTAATTGGATTGTCTTTTCCATTTCCGAAAAGAAAATATCCTCTGGGTTATGCATTCATAAATACTTAGGTACTTTAAAACAATCTCTCTGGATTGACTTTGTAAATAATTCATGACACTAACTCATAACTGAGTGTTAATGGCAGAACTGTAATTAGAAATGAATGACTTCTATCAATTATTTTTTTTTTCAAACTGGCTTCTAGGAAAAACATGCACGTAGCATTCATCTATTTAAACATAGTTCAACCAAATGAGCTAATACTTTTCAAAGTTGCATGTAATATAATTAGCGGTGTGATTCCTTTGCATTATTTCTGGCAACTACTATCTCATTGTATAAACATTGCCAAGATTGAAAAGAATTTCGCAAACAAAGTAAGAATTGGCAGTCTTTAAATAACCTTCTGTGAAAAGCGACCATATTCTCTAGGGAGGTTATGTCCTGTGCTATTTGTGCTGTGCAGCTAAAGAAGTTCTTATATTACTTTAAAAGCTTGAGATTTGAGGCATTGTTTTATTTAACAAAGGGAAATAATGGATTTACCTAATTGACACAGGGAAGTAGCTTGTCATCCTCCCACGTAAGTGAGCCCAAATCCAGATGTGAAACCTTGCCCTGGCCTCAGGAAAAGACTGAATTCCTACCCGGGAGTAGTAGGCGTTGCAGTCCCCAAGCCATAACAAATGCTAAGAGTAGATAAACACAGATGCACAATTTGTTACAAATGCTCTTTGTTTCAGGATAAATGCACTGAAAATAGTATAAAAATTTTTTTCAACAAGGACTTGTCTTTACCACAATGCATGAAGGCAAAGTCTGTTTTTAAAATCATACATTCGAAAACTGGTTGGCAGTCTAATCATATACTTTTCCTAAACCTATGAGCCTAAAAAGCCTAAGTCTTTTGTTTAATGCACAAAGTAAATCTTAGATAAAAACATGCCAGGCTCCCAAAAGTCTTCCTTTTTTTTGTTGAAGGAAGGTATTAATTACAACTGATATGACACAATGAGTAATTTATGAATTGTGTTCTTAGGCATCAGGCTCCATTCAATTACCGCCAGATCCAAATACTTATCAGTGTGTGAGCTTTTCTTCTCTAAACACAGGTATAAGGAAATCACGTACATCCTGTCATAGCTGAGCCTGGGCACACTGAGAATGATCTAGGGCTGATTCTTAGAGGAAGGTGCATGAGGGATGCAGACAAAGGGAGCTGTATCAATAGCAATTACTGACCGAAGCGGTTCAGACAGGCAGAAACAACATACAATCCAGACTAACAGCTGAGTGTGTAGGTGGGGGTGGAAAATGTGGCCCATTCCTGGGTGGGGCAGAGAAATAAGAAATCCAGCTGGATGACGCTCCATTCTTCAGGAAGGTAGAGCGGCGTGGTGGCCACAGTTCAACCTTGGCGTTGGCTAGCCTCGGATTTGAATACTGACTCTACCACTTACCAGTTATGAGACCTGGGGTCGGTGGTTTGAGACCCTATCCCCACCCACATGCTCCAGTTTCCTTATAAGACCTACCTTGGAGGTTTGCTGGAAGGTGGAGAGAAAATGGACATAAATGAACCTATAACTGCTGGCACACAGTAAGTGTCCTAAATTAATTAGAAAAATGCCAGGGCTTGAAGGAGGAGACTCATACAGAATGGGGCACTATTGAGGACTGGGTGGGAGCATCCGTCATGTCAATGAAACCCCAGGTAGCCTCAATTGGGAAAGAACAAGGGGGCTCAGTGGTCAGCACTCAGGTGAGAACAAGTTGACACTAATGTCATGCAATGATGGGGATGGACACTTTTGAATATGACCACTTTATAACTCGAGCAGAATTGACTCAGATAATGAAATGGCCTTCAGATGGCTCAGCTGTGGGGAAAGAGGAAGGCAGAAGATGAAGAAAAGAGGAAGATATGAGGTAGCTAACCACAAGTGATTCAAAGTAAATACTAAGACTTTCACATGACAGTAGTCATGCCTCATTCATTAATCATGATGATGGAAAGATACTATAGTTCAGCAAGAATGTTATATAAATGTATATACATTTGAAAAATAACAGCATATGATATTAGCAAACACTGAATGCACAGGTATGTTTATATTACTTCATTTTAATTCCCCAATTTACCCTCTCAGGTGGATAACCCCTATTTTATAATTGAGGAAACTGAGGCACGGAGAATATCCATAGTGAGGGGAAAGCTGAGATTTAAACCCAAGTAGTCCCAATCCAAAGGTGGCATTCATGCAGAATCTGACTGTATGTAAGAGGCAGAGTTTGGGACTACTGGTTTGAAGAGTTGGAGCTCAGTTACAGTCTGAATAGGTTCATTTGCTGATTATCATTTCTATTTTCAAAAAGGCACATCTATTGAGAAATATTGAGTCACTTAACTAAAATGCCAAGAGAAACATTGACAGAAATCTGTTACTTCTTCAAATATGAAATTAATTCCAAATGTGAAAAAAATATAATTAGAACAACAAAGAACAACAAAGTTTAGAAGATAATTTAAGCTAATTAGAATTCTGCTTTTAAAATTCAGGGGGTGGGGAACTTTCCCCCTGAGCTGAAACAGTTCGTATTGAGAGAGGAATTAATTTTTTTCCAATTACCAAAATTCAGAATCAATAATCTTGAAAGTTTGAAATGATCCTCATTTTTTCCTAGCTTTTGTCCAGGCTTTAAATTCTCAAAGTTTCAGTTTCTTTGTTTTAGCCTGCCTCACTTTATCATTGATAATGAGGAATGATATATTTTCTCCGAGAGGGCTGCTGTTCTCTGCACAAAACGTAACATGAGAAAAAACCAGTCACTAGCCATAAATGCATTTATCAATGCCTGAAGACATCTGGCTTAGGGGACTAGTCACTTGCTCAATTACCACATTATTCATGCACAGAATTCATCCTTCTAATAATTAATTCTATTGGTTTTTCTGATTCTTGGATAATCTATACTTACTGCTCTTTATCGCCTGCCTCCCTTCTAGTTATTTTTTTTTTAAACATAATGACTTTTTTTTTTAAAGACTTATTTATTTATACAAGCACTGGGTACAGTCAGAAGCGCAGGAGGGTGAGAGAATTCACCAGAGCCAGAGCGGGGAACAGAGCAGGCAGACCGATGAAATACACTGCTGAGGGGAGCAGCGGGCATGGCAGGAGAGGTCTGTTGCGCCATGTGGGACTCTAGCTGGCTGCCGGGGATTGAACTGGCACTGCAGAGGCTGTGGGCAGCTTTGCAGCCCAGCGCTCAACCACTGCGCTACCAGGGGAGGCTCCCTTCTAGTTATTCTTTACATATCATTAATGGTGCATAGGAGAATAGAGATTAGCTAAATCTTAAAATTATTCTTGATTGTTAAAGTATTACTAAAAATTAAAATGACTAATTCAGCAGAAGCATGGCAGTGACTGTGGTATTATGTAGTCATGCACTCCCCAGTAACACTACTCCAGGTCCCTGAGAAGTTCTTTGCTTTTACATGTCCTGAATTTTGTTTCTTTCTAAGATTCTAGGGTGGTTCCTGATTTGTTCAGCATCTTTCTTTTCTCTGCTCACCACTTGTTATGCTCGCTGTCGATCTAAAGTTAGCTACCTTCAGCTAAACTTTTGGAAGACGTATGCGCAAAAGGAGAAGGAGCAGTTGGAAGATACCATTCTGGACTATGCCAACAAGCTGAGTGAGAGAAACCTGAAGTGCTTTTTTGAAAACAAGAGACCAGATGTCTTTCCCATGCCCACTTTTGCAGCCTGGGAGGCTGCTTCACAACTGCATTCTTTCCACCAAGGCCCGCAGTACTACAGCACTCTCCATAAGGTGGTAGAAGATGGGCTGGACCATCACCCCGAGAATGATGAGACCACAATGGTTCTTGTGGGTAGTGCCCACAGTGTATAGCTTGCCCACCAGCGTGACTCACTGCATCAAGGGATACTCTCATTCTGACATCTGCCTCCTGCATTGACAGCAACCTGTGATCTCTGGACTTCTTTACATTTGGTTTTCTTTATAAGACAATAAAGATCTAAGCTTTGCAACTCCCGTGCACAGACAGTGCCAGGATATACTCAAAGATGCCACCTAATGGGTCAAGGATGGTAACAAAGGTGTTCTTCACTGATTAAGGCTGGGAGTTAGCCCCTTAAATTCTATGATTTTATGATTCCACAATGAGACTCATGCAAGAGAAACTGCCGCTCTAAATAATGATTATGCTTCAGGGCAGAAGTGGGCTTGTGAGTGAGCAAGGCATTCTGAACACAGACTGCCCCACACAGTGGAATTTTCATTGTAGTCAGTAAATCTATCCTCTCTCCTTTCCAGGATGTATGAAATTTACTCCTTTGGAATCTGAAGACATTAGTTCTCAAAAATAACACATTGGCAGCATATGGTGTCTACACCTCAGAGCTCTTTATGTCTCCTCTGTCCTCTGTGCATTGAAAGTACACCCCGCTGGGCAGTGCTGAATCGTGGCTTGTGTGGCCTTAGGCACATTTGTCTTTGTGGACCCCATTCCACTCTAAACAAACTCTGAGATTTATGGTAGTGTCAATATAAAGACAGATAACATATATTAAAAAATTTTTTCAACCTAAAAGTTCACTTATTTCCTTCTGATTTTAAAAGAAGTTAGCAACACTTTTGACAGTCCCTACAATTACTGTGGACCCAAGACACAGCGCCTGGGGTGCTGAAGGGGTAAGTTATTCCTGACTAGAGGTCTGGGGAAATTGTTCAAAGCAGTTTTGGTGTATAACTATTTTTGCAATTTTATATTCATCAGAAATACTGCAAACTTTGCACTCAACTACATCATATATATACGTGTTAGTTTAACCACATATGTGTATGCATATGCATATATACATGTACATCTATATAAAAATATTTCGATTCCCCCAAAATGCTGAATGGAATGATGCTCAAGTATGAAGCACCAGGTACCTTATATAATAGGGAATACTCTCCTCATTTGAGAATCCTGGGGATTGACCAGGATTGCAAAATTGGAGAATATGTTCCAGAATTTATTCTTGGAAATGTATAGGTGAAGAGTCAGGGGTGTTTGTGTGTGTGTGTGTATGTGTGTGTGCATGTGTGAGAGAGAGGGACAAAGACAGAGAGACAGGGAAAGAGAAAGCAGGTGGGAGAGTAAGAGGTGGGAGCTATGAGGTTGCAATCTTGGGTTTAAACATGTCTGACAAATGTTAATAATTGTCCCCTCTAATAAGCCCCAATTTGACATGTTTGCCAGTTTCTTTGATGAAATTTTAAGTAATCAAGGGATGTCAGTAATGTAGAGGTAGTAAGAGATGTTAACCATGGGTTTTCTTGAGCCAGTATAAGCTTTCGAAGGTGTATATATACATATATATATATATATGTATGTATACACACACATATATATTTTACATAGTTTTTCATTTTTGTACAATGCATGCATCTTCATCTTGATTATCGTTCCCATAAAATTCCCACCACCCATTCACCAGTGAACTATCACCATGGTCTCTTGTGCTCTTCCCACCCTTGTTTTGATTCTACAGCTCCGCACCTGCAGTATGTTTCTGGTTTATAGTTACCTACTGATTTTGATTTTTACTTCATTATAATTAATTTTTTTTCCTGATCGCTTATTTGGATCCTGTACAATCCTGCTGTAAGTGAGACCATGAGGTATTTTTCTTTTTCTTTCTGCCTTATTTCATTGAGCATGATCCCCTCGAGTTCCATCCATGTTTCAAAGGTTTTTAAGACTAACAGTTTGTCACATTTTGTCAAATTTTTGGTTTTATTTTGCTTTTACATTGATTCTAGTGCAAATAACTTTGTTTCATCTTTGCTCCATCTGGCTTTCACTTTAATAAAGCCTAACATCGATGTGGGTCTGCTAATCCTAAGAGGCCTGTTTGGCCACCATTTTGTTACCTACAGTTCTAATGCCTAAGCAAGGTCAGAAGGGCCCGGCCAATTAAGTATAGGAGCCCAACCCTGCAAAGTGCCTTTCAAGTCATTCAAGAGCACAAAGCTGGATCACCCTGGGAAGGCTATGCATCACAGAGGCATGACCATGAACGCCTGGGGGTGCTGAGCACCAGACATATAACAAGGGACCCCAGAAGCTGATTAGTGGAAAGCCTAGTTGATAAGATTGAAACCATGGCTGAGGAAATAGGGCTTGATCTCAATTACAATACCGAGTCATCAAGCAGATGAGAAGTGCCTAGAGAGCAGACTTACATCCTGATAGTATAGATTTCAGCACATTTTCTAGTTACATTCTTCACCTTTTCCTTTTTTCCTCTTTCCCCTTACAACTGATGCTGTAAGATTATTCTATCAACAAAAAGGCCAGGATCTTGCTTTTCTGGGGCATGAAATGGGCATGCGTAAGTGGGTGCACCTGTGCGAAGAGAGTAAGCATGTCAGGGTGGTGTCACAGAGCACCTGCGGCATAGTCCAGTGGAGAATGGGCGGAATGCACCAGAGAGCTCAGAGATTCCCCAGGGGCTGGGCCTGCTAACTTCCCGGCCCCCCTGCCTGCCCTGAACCTGATTACTTCACTACAAATGGCATAGAAAGATCATTAAAAGCCTGAAAAAGCCACTGAGGACTCCTGGAATCTCCTTTGCCCGCTCTGCCCGACTGCCTGCCTGCACTACAAATGGCACAGATGGCAGGACAGGTCAATGCAGACATGTGTGGAGCCCTCCGAAGACCTTGGGAGGGACTGAGGGGTGACAGGCCATGAGTATGTAATGCTCAGGGACTGGCCTCCTCCTCGAGGGCACCTCCTGAGTCCCCACTGCAGAGGGAGAGGACTCTGCACACAGAGGGGAGGCATTGAAAGGACATGGTGCCTGCTCAGAGGCAGGGCTGGGGGTTGAGTGTTTCCTTTCAGCTCTGCAAGTGGAGTCAAGTGCAATGCTGGAGGCACCATGGCAGCACAGGTGGTGACCAGAGTCCAGGAGCTGCAGGAAGAACTAGAGATGCTGCTGGAGCACAGGAGGTGGACAAGGTCCAGGAACTTCGGGACAAGGAAGCAGACTCATCAGAGATGAAAGAAGCCCATGATTTGTCATTCGTAGTTTGCCCAGTGCTGATGCAAGGAAAAGGCTGATGGATTTGGACTGACAATTCCGCCAGAAGGTAGGAGACCTTTGGTTGTTGATATTATGTCTATGAGACACTGGGGATGGAAGGGGTCATTTGTACACACAGAATCAAGGGGTGGCCAGTGGGCCTCCATGGCCTAAAGCAGCCTTGTGTGAGGTTCTCTGCAGCCAGGCAGAGGAGATATATCAAAAAGCCAACTTAGATAAGGCAAAAAAGCTGGTGCTAAGGTCAGGAAGCTCTGAGCTGATGTTAGGCAAAGGATGTTAATGAAGGCAGGTGAACCTCTTAAAATCACCTGTGAGTGATGCCCTGTTCACTTTCAAATAAGGGTCAGGTGCTGAGGAACCTTTCCTCTGGGGACAGTGGGGAAAATGGCTTGTGGAAACCAGAGAGAGGCCACATAAGGAATGTGTTATCCATAGGCCCCTGACCCATGTGCATGTGCAAAGGGCTGGCCTTAGTGCAGAGATTTGCTTGTCACATTGGTGGCTACGACAGCCTTGTGTTGAAGTAACAGCAGTGAGTACCCTTGGGGGTTGGGCAATTACCCCCAAAAGAGTATAGAGGTTGTTGCCAATTTCAGTGAGTACATCTTGGGGGTGGATGCAGTGTATGGCTCGTGGCTGAGACCATAACCAGAGAAGGTGAAGAAGCCTGATGGTCCCTGGCGTGTGGCAGCAGGTGCAGTGAGTGAATTGTGGTTCCCCCCTCAAAAGAGCAGCGCCTTCAACAACCGACTTAATGGGTCATCTGCTGGTGCCGTAAACATCCTAAATTTTTGCCCCTAGGTTGGTGTCCTGCCTGGGCTTACTTGTATTTTGTTGTATTGTTATAGTCAGTTGCACTGTGTTTAATTTTGCGGGAAAAGTTTAGTGTTCATATTCACTAAGGGAAACTTAAGTGTCGGGTAGGGTGAAAAACCCTGAGGGGGTGGATTGCAGGGTAAATGAAGATTGCTCAGGCTTTTTGCACCTTTGGCCTCTATGGCAATCCCTGCAGTACTTGGGCATGGGTTGGGGCGTGCATACCTGATGGTGGACACATGGAGTATGTTGTTTGCGTGCCTGAGTGGGCACACCTGAGCTGAGGCACTGAGCATAAAAGTGCAGCGTCAAAGAGGACTGGGCCCAGAGGAGCCCAGAGGCCCCTACCCTTGTCTTTGTTGCACTACAATGCTTAATGGATACTAAAAGTTCTAAAATAGTTATACAAAGACTGTGAAATTATTGTTGGTTAAGAGTTGTTTGAAAGAAACGCTCTGCTGTGCTTAATTCTGTTGAAAATAAACATTATTAAGAAGAATAACTTATTAGTTGTCTTTAATACTTGGGAAAAATCAGAGTAGCTAGTGTAGGACAGGTGGGCACTTAGTAATCAAAAACAGCTTGTTCTTCTAATGGGGCTCCTCAAAATATTAAGATTATCCACATTAGCATTATAAGGGAACTTGTTAGAAAGGCAGAATCAGACTCCATCCCAGACTCACCTTTGCAAATCCGCATTTAATAGCTCTTAAGTGATTTTATGTAATGTAAATTTGAGAAGCACTAGAGCCCCATTCCCAAACTTTAGCTCAAGTCAAACCCATCTGGAGGGCTTGTTAAAACATAGGTTGTGGCGCCTCACCCAGAGTGTCTGAATTGGTAGGTATGAGTGAGACAAGAGAGAATTTACATTTCTGACAAGTTCTCACAGGATGCTGATGCTGTTGGTCCAAGGATCACATCTTGAGAACAACCCCCTTACAGCTCAAAACAGGCCAGAAGAAATTCAGTATGTTGTACCCTCTCATAGCTTCTGCTTTAGACATCTTTGCTATGATGCTATCAACCTGTCTGAAAATATGGGTGCCTTAATAGTCATTCAAGGTTACCTTTGGTCTTTAGGAATATTTTAGTTTTTCTCACTTAAGTTTTGCAAGTTCCTTGTATTTGTAGGTATTCTTTCTTGCTGTTGTAAATGGTTTCTTTTTTCCACATTTCTTCTGAGTGATGGTTATTTCAATCCATGAAAAAGTTACTGCTCTGTGAATATCTACCTCCACCCTCCTTGCTGATTCTTTTATTCTTTGTAGAGCCTTTCAGAGTTAGAAAATAACCATTTTGCAACCCCCAAATGACATAATGAATGTGGACAATACTGAATTCTAAACTAGATGAAGGCATGATGGGGTCAGGAGCAGGCAACTTGAAGCCACTCTTCTAGGTTTTCTATTGCGATCCCCTCCCACCCCACTCCCCTTCTAATCTCCTTGTTCCTCCTCTCCCAAAATTCTCAGATCTACAGCCTGCTTTCAAGGATCCCTCTCAGCTTGTGTTTGACCCTTAAAACAAAGGGTTTCTCTGGAATCCACATATAAATGAAACCACTGGGTCATTCTTTCTCTGTCTGGCTCACTTCACTCAGGATAATCCCCTGCAGCTCCATCCATGTAACTGTTTATCTCAGTGTCCCTAAAAACGGGAAGGGCAGATGTGCCTCTGCATGAGACATGTACAAGAG